CGGACTACGATTAATATTGAAAAGATTAGGGGGAACAATAATGATCAATGTTATATTTATCAATTTTCAGCTCGGTTATTAAATTTTTCAAACTGTTTGAGAAAAAGATATCAACGAGAATTTATAAAATTCCCAATTGATTTCTTGCACGATAAAATATTCTAAACGTAAAAATCTGCGATAAATAATGACTTTTAGCCAAATTTTTCGTCGCGAAAACATTAAATTTCAATGCACGAAAGAATTTGTGTTCAAAGTAAAATATGCTACTATGTTGGAACACATTCCATACATAATAAAACATACCGCGCGCGGTCGCAAATCCGATTCCATCCTACAAATCCATCGCATGATGTTCAAAATGTAGGAACATCATAAAATAGCAATGCTATAAAGCAAAATGGTTATTCAATGATGGCTATTTCAATATTGTGTATATCAAATTGTCAGCTTTCCAAATTTAAATTATGTATAAGGTAAATTTATGTACCATAATTCCTTCATCTCGATTAATATGGCCGTAGATCTTGATGTAGTTCGGAATAAAAATATATATTTGCCTTTTACCATTTAAAAATTAAGTACTATCGAAATAATATTAGAAAGAAAAGCTTGAGACATCGAGAAACATACTGGAAACTATAAATTTTTTTTCGACGCCAAGTTAACGGAATGATCGATCATCAAAGTACTTGATAGAAAAATTTTATTAAACCCAGATTCTTTTAAACAAAACCCCCCCCCCCCCCCAAAAAAAGGGAAAAAAATGAAGCGAGCTCTTGAGATATAGTGCGGATAAACGGAGCGGATGCAGAAAATTGATTCCTGCATTCTTGATTCTACGGCACCCTCATCACTCTTATCCGTTGCAGTGTCAGCTGCAGCGGCATGACGAAATATTTTCCGACTTTGTCGGGGGAGTATCGAAAATCGCGATAACCATTGAATACATCCCATATACGTGTACACGGTCGTAGGGTTATATTTAGATAGTCGTGCGACCGGCGAACAAGCGCGCACACAACACGCATTGGGACACAGACGTATATATACGGCGGGCATACACATATTGCAGCGTATGCCACATCGTGTGTTTGCATATGTGTACACACATCGCGTCGCGTCGAGTCGCGTCGGCCACATGTATCCGTGCGCATGTATCAACGTTCCCAGAAACACGTTACACTGACCCAAGGGACTCGTATCTTTGATACTGGGTCATCCCATGACAAATTGATCGGTGACGTTGCGCCGTTGAGCTTCGGCATGAGTCTTCCACGCTCGAACGAGGAAGATCCTTCCGAGGGACATGTACGATGCGGTGGATTATACCACCGCTAGGTGTGAGATCCGCTAGATCCGCGTCTAGGCTGTGCTGGGTAAATTTCAGAGGTGCAGCACTGATACCATTATATGAAATACGTTAAGCCTGTGGGGAAATATGGAGCCTATAGGAAAATGATATTTGCGACAAATATTTGGCATTTATGTACAAATAGCAAACGCAATATTTATAAAATTTATTTTATTTTATTTCCGGCACAAATAAACGTGAATTTAATTTGCGTTTAAGCCGCAATCGTAAAATAATCGAATATTTTTAATTTTTTTATATATCATCAAATTAATTATTCCTTAGATTTTTAAATAAATTTCGCAAGTATGATTCTGGAGATGTTATATTATAGAAATCACGCCCGTTAAATATATATATATGATTATTTTAATATCATGAACGCGAGTAACGTTGCTATTAATTGGTAAACTTTTTTAAAGCGTATATTTTTTATTAGTGTGTTTATTACAATATTTAGTTTTTTGGAAACTTTTGAAACGTATAGTTCTCACATAAATGCGAGGATTGCAGTAATTGGGGAAAAATTGAATATCGCAAAACAGGATATCGAGTAATGTGCGGCAGCAACGTGAAAAATTGATTCCGAAGGTCAAATCAGGGTACCGATCGATTCGACGCGACGCGGCGTGCTGACCGAAATGCATTTGCAGAGAAACAAAGAGTATGAGAGAGAGAGAGAGAAGCATGTTCTGGAGCGTTAAAATTTCTAGCCGACGAACGCAACGCGACGTTCGACAGGCAAACCGATTCGACAAACGCTCCGTCTCGATTAGTGACTTTATTTAAATTTAAACGCTCGTTCGCCTATTCGATGGTGATTATCGCAGCTAGTAATTGCCGGGACGACATCGCGATTGATTGTTTTACGATCCTATCAGTGTGTTCTATTTTATCAGGGGCCAGCGCGGTATAATCTACGAATACGCCTACGCGCGTGTGTACGCCTGTTCGAGGCGATTTGAAATTTCCGATACTCTAGCGAATGATAAAAAGCCAATGGGCGTGATAGAAGCCGTTGGACGTAACGCGCGCGTGCGATATTTTCGTGATATACGTTTACATGTAAAATCACTGGTAGTAAAATCGCCTGGGACGTATCCCATCCAATTCCGACATGACCCAATTCTGTTTCGTAAGCTGGTGGCGTGCCTTGTCATAGACGTCACGGAATATGATAAATGTTTTCCAAGTAAATGAGTAAATTGCATTCGATACAAAATTTATTTTTACCCCTTTGCAAATTATTATGTAGAGAATAAACGGAAATCTATTCCGAGTTGTGATGTCGAGTTAACCTCCTAACGACACAACTAAAATCTTTCGATACGTCGGTCTCATTGTTAAGCGGCTCGGTTATACGCAGTAAGTTCGAGTATCTTTAGATAAATGATAAAGGTAAATAATCGTGCGATACCATTCGCGTTCATCAAAGACAGAAGAATGGCTTAACGCGGGTGAAAAGAAGCGCGCGCTTTGTGAGACCGCTTACGAACGAGAGAGAGATTGTTCGAAGCCCTGTAACGCACCGCATGATTACGGCACGTTGTCGGCGGGGGAGCGAGGGGTGCCCCAAATACGAGGCACAAGTGCAATTATTATTACGCTCGTTACTCGCATATTCCATTCAAAGCATTCGGGCGGACATTCGGCGGCAGCGACTGCCGCAGGGGTTATTATCCTATTGAGCTCGTAAGAAGCAGCCCGCGTGCGATGTCGTATGAGCCATCGTCTTACGACATCCTCTATCTGCTAACCAACGGAACATAGTGTAACAAGAAACGCTTAGCTCGTAGAGAACCCCGGTAACTTCGTCGCTCTGAGAAGCACGGCGAGAGGAAGAGAGATCCCTCTTTCTCAGGAAGAAGAGAGAGAGAGAGAGAGAGGGATGCAACTCCAGTATAACGAACGGCTTCGACGATAACATAGGGCGACGCCGAGGCGCCACGTCTGTGCGAAGACTGCGCGAGTCCCGACAAGACATACGAGAACGATACATCGTTCTCAAGAATCTCTCCTCGAGCGATTTTCAGTTCTATCGATCATTTCACCGACGACGAATAAGAACGGCGTACGGGAGGAAACGTAGATAGATGACGAAGCGGCTTGCACACAAATGAGATAGAGTGAGGAAAGTAGAAACCGAGTACCATCTTGTTCCCGTTATTAGATGACGGCAGATAGCCGATACGAATATAAACGACACGACGAAAACTAATTAGTGGTCGATCGAGCGATTGACGCGTTTTCCGTTTATTTTGCCAAGTGATAAGGAAGACTGGTAGTTACGTTAATAAACGCGCAGCTTGAAACGCCTAGAGTCAATAATAATAATTGCGCATTAAATCTATTAAAAGTACTCGTCCCAAGGAATACACCAAGTCAAGAGCAAGTAAAAATCACTTTATTTTGACGTTATGAAAGTACAAAATGATTTATTATAAAATTTGATTGTTCATTGACGTTAAGAATTGAAATAAAGTAATTTTGATTTTTCGTTGATTTTGGTGTGTTCCTTGAGGAGAATTCTCGATACAGTTTTTAATGTTAGCTAAAATTAACTTGCAAAATAATTTTATCAGAATTAACTTATTATTTGTGGAAAACCAAACAAAGTGCATTTATTTTATTTATAAATTTTGAATCAAGAAATACAGAATCTTAGATACCAGTGATCAGAAAACAGCCAATTAGCATTCTTCATTTTTTTGTACCGCCGAGTGAAAGGTTCAGAATCAGAGGAATTTTATTAGAAAAGGGCAAACGATCGATTCCTAAGGAACGTTTCTAATAGAAAAAACCGACAGTTAACAGATATACATCTATAAGCTATCTGTGAATTATCTAGTTCTGTATAAAGATCACGGCTCCTTTTTTATCTGATACGATCGCCCATTTTAATACTCCGTAAAACGCTCCGCGCGATAATTATGAAGACGTAGTATATTTTCACGACAAAACTATATTACGGTCGTAAAAAAGCTTCCCTCATAATGGCTATTCCATATGTGCTCTTAGCCACATACACATGCATACATGTGTGTGTGTGTGTAGAATGTATCCCCTCCATTCTTGCCTCCAATACTAAATTGCCGGCACCCGGCAATACTTTTATCGCTTCTTTTACGGCACCGACCTCCTTGCCTTCCAACTTCGTTTTTGAATCCGATGGGACTATAAAAATAAATTAGATAAGACGAAGTAAATGAGTAAGGAACGACGGCGGCCTATATACTTGTTAAAAACGACATAAAAGAGAAAGACAGCATACTAAAAATTCGTGAAAAAAATTTCTTCCGAAATTTTCTTTCGACATCAAGCGACGGTTTTTTGCTCCGTCCCGATTAACGCAGATCAAATATTCGATATTTCAAGATGCTTTAAGTTTAATTTAAGTTCAATTTAAATATTCATATTTTAAAATATTTAATATAGTTTAAATTTTATATTATAGCTCGGTACATATCACGTCATATACTTTCATTTCATGATATAACATATTACAAGAAATAAATGATAACCAACTTCATAATGCATAATTACATCCCATTCTTACAAATATACGTGATCGATCTAATAAATCTTTCTCATTTATTCATAGGAACGAGAGCAGAAGAGTCGGACGAAGAACAGTATCGTTAATAATTTGCCTCTCGTTGCTGATGACAATGGAGGCGAAGACAGTGGCAGCTATGAACGTGACAAACGCATCGTCCGTGGTAGTGTCGACACTGAAGCCGTTTACAACGACGGAAGTAGTTTATCAGCGATTCGCCATCGAGCCGATGGATCAAACCGCGGTGATTGGCAGCCGGGTGACGCTTCCATGCCGAGTTCTCGATCAAAAGGGGCCCATTCAATGGACCAAGGACGACTTTGGCCTAGGAGCTGTTAGGAATCTCACCGGATACGAGCGATACGCCATGATCGGTAGCGATGAAGAAGGCAAGTATAAGCGGATAAGATTATTCCGGTAATTCTGTTTTCACGCTCAAATGGATTCCTTCATCAACCGCGTAACATGCAGATACTGCAATTATACAAAATACAGTGTGATTTGCGATCAAGAAACTTCCTGTCTTACAAAAGAACGTTCCAAAAGTGATATCAAGAAACTGACGTTACTAGTTAGATTTTTGGTTCCAAGGCCCACTTTGGACCCAATAAGAAAAAAAATCAAGGTCTTATTATAAGTAGCTCATCTAATGGTCTTCTTCAAACCTATACAACTTTTGTTTGAAACATTTTTTTTTTTTTTTTTTTTTTTTTTTTCAAAAATGTATTGTTCTTGAGATATTTTGTGTCTACATTAAAATGGCCAAACATGTTTCGGTTCAAGTCGGATATAGAATCCGTAAGATCCCAAATTTAACTATCTAGAATTTAGAATGTCAAACGTAATTTTTCGATTGATACCGTCAATTTTTCTGCATCACCTTTTGGAATGTTCACTTTAATCTTTAGCAAGATTCCTTTTATTTTCGTTACTGGGAAAAGATTGGAAAATCCGTTTATTGGATAACTAACTTTTGGCAATTTTTTTAACTTTAGAAATAACTCGTGAAATAACGCTTGAAACAATAACTGAGGATCATCCTATATATTAATGTTTTTCGATACAATGTTGTGTGCTCTCTCGAACGCGAACTTAACCACGCTTAAATTTCCTCACAGAACTGTACTTTTTATGAGTAAAGGATTATTTAAAAATCTATACGCTATATCAACATACTATAATACGCCGCTGGCCTGTTTACTCGTTCAAATTCAATTTCCGGCCGCAAGGTATTGATTTTCTGCCGTGTCGAAAAAGTGTGTACACATTCACCCGGTTGCCCGTAGGACTTGCGCGTCATGAAAAAATATTTCACGTTACTTAGAGATTATATTCATAGACATAGCACACATAATATGCGAAGGAAGACAGAACTTGGATATATATATATATAGTAAACTCACAAAGGCAACGTTCAGTATAAAAATAGTGAGGTACATGTATATCTCATTGTCAAATGGAAATTGTAACATGATAAAAAAATGAAAAGTATACAGAGTATATTTTTTCATCTATGACTACATGTCCAAAGAATTCTGTTCTAAATATTAGAATCCCTCTTTATGCGTCGTATAAAAATATTAACAGTTATTAAATTTTTGTTTAGCGAATCAATTTAAAAGAATTTAAGTCATTATAAAAATTTTATATACGAGTATATGTAAAAATTGAAGAAAAATGTGAGCTTTATTTTCTAATGAAAAGTTATATATTTTTATTTTGACAGCCACTACCGACACAATTTCAAACAAATTATTTTGCACTGTCAAGCTTCTTTTGGTGTGAGAAATGACCTCCTTTTCAGTTGTATCATCATTTCCGCTTCACTGTATACAGCACTTCCGCAAGAGGTTCTCTTTTGTTAGCATGCTTTAAAACAAAGATGGACCCTCGCGCTCTTGTGTCGACTACGTCGCATAAAGCCGATGCAGTTCGCATTAAAAGCTACTGCGAAGTTAAATTAGTTTCCTAACGAGTTACTAAAAAATGCCGACCAACACTCGTAACACTTGCTGGTGTAGGAGTACCTATTTTACACGTGTAAACGTTTTCATAGTATACAAAATAGTCGCTGAGAATGCAGCCTAGCACTTGAGATGACATTCTTTATTGCAGAATTTTTAATATAAAGCGACACATATACTCCCGGATGAATTAATTCAAAACGTAATGGCAAAGGCAACGAGAGGATAGAGAATTCTGTCCAATCAGTAAATTGTGTCGGCAAATGAAAGGGTGATGTTCAAATAAAGACCTTCACGGTTCACGTCTCTGGCCTCAGCAGCGAGAACGCTGATGATGTTAGCGTTGCTGGTGAATAAACTCGAGAGACACAAACGCAAATAACAAAGCACACGCGAATGAAATATTCTTAATGCCGACAGCAAATCGCGGTAATAACAATGACAGAAATAGACGGCGAAAAAATTAGTGGCAGAAATGTACTGCGGCATGATTTTTCGGAATAAAACGTAAAAGTAATATACATTCGATTTTCCAATCAGCGCAGAAATTTCTTTCAAATCTATACAAAATAAAAAAAATATTATTTTAAGATTTATGTTGGACAAACGAGATTATAAAATCTTGTTGTCAAATAATTGGTGATTGTTATCATGTTTATTTCGATGTGACCAAATAGTAGACGAACAAGTAAATGAATGAACGAGTGAATAAAAAAAAAATAGCACAAGAATAACAAAGTAAAAATTGAATTACGACGAGGATCCGTAAAGACGTTCCAATTACATTAATATTATAACGGAATAATCAATGCATGATTTAATCGCGCATATAACGATAAAACGAAGCTTTTTCATGTAACGGCGTGCGAGGCGGAGCGGTAAACTGGTTTATTTCATCCGTTGTATCTCTTTCAACATATATAGATTGTCTTTCGAAGCGCGCGTATCTTTCCGCGCTCGCTGTATTCGTCATTTAATTCCGCAAAAATCAGCGCGCCGAAAGCGAAACGATCCAACGTTTATTCAATCAAAATTTGTAACGTGTTTCGCGAAGCTGTCCTGCTCGTGCGCGTCGGCATATTGAAACGCCGAAGCGGTATATACGAACGCGGCGTTTATTTTTTTATTTCTATTCGTTTTTCGGTTACGGTATTTGCCGGGTGCAGGATTAGTCGCCGGGCTTGCCGAAGATAGAGTGATCCCACGATATCGTCCTATACCGATATTCCATTTCCTGCATTCACAATATGTTAAAAAATATTACATTATTCGGCAATATTTTCAGATTGGAAAAAAAAAAAAGGATATCGTATTACATTTATTTGCCTAATAAAATTACCTAGATTGATCAGCCACTCCATTTAAATATTTTTTCGTTATGTGACATAGAAATAATTTTCACGTCAAATCTGTGTCCTCTTATCTTTCCGGATATTTTTTTTTTTTCACACGAGTTAGTTTTGAATATAATTTTGAATATATATAGTTTTTTTCACCTGCAGATACTTTAATACGATTTAAATATTTCGTCGCGCGATTATCCGAGAATTATAATTGAACATAATCTTTTGAAGGAATTATCGCGTTACGCTAAAAGTTTCTTTTATAGAGATTTCTCGTGAAACTCGATGATGACGCGTCAGTCAAAAGTAGGATTAGGTATACAGGTGGCATTATATCCTTAAGCTGAATGCCGTATGTGCCTCTCTCGGTGCGTATATACGCGGACTTCCCCAACAATCACAGTGTGTTGGGACGATAACGCTCGCGCGCGTTTGAAATCCAGTTTAAGCCGAGAAACCATAATATACTTGTAACTATATGCCGTTGCACGATGCCTTGGTCCTCGTTCATTCTTCTCGTACCTGCAGTATAAGCGCGTTCCATCGTCTGTATGGCACGTACAGCGGTAGCAACGCTTGATTTCCATAAAATTATTGCCGGTTTAGTATTCCAGGCTCCATAGCTTATATTGCAATATTGTTACATTTTGGGCGCCACGTTTTCTAACCTTAGGCTATATATGCTTTCATAATGAAGAGCTGGAGTAATTAAAGTAAAAGCAAAATAACTCTCTTTTAAAAAAATACTCCATGCTCTGGGGGAAAAAAAAAAAAGTATATTAAGGTTGGTCTGAAAATTATTCGCCAGCAGAACAAAAAAATTAATCGAAAGTGCAGGAAAAAAAATTAGATGTATGCATCCAAAAGTTAATTAGTGCGGAACATAGTGTGGGTGTTCGTTGCCGGTGGCGAGATTGTGATTAACTATCGGAAAAACCGTTTAATTAACGTTTTCATCATTTAATTCGGGCATAAAAGAGATCAAGAAAGCTCGAAATTTTCAAACTTTATCTCGTATGACCACGATGCAAACGTATCGAGATCAATCTTACTAATGTGTCAGTTTCTATATCACTCGCTTGGCACGAGATATTATAAAACGCTCATTTTTTTCCTACAAAAATTGATTCACTAAATTCAAATGGTAGATAAAAAAATGTCAAACAACAAAAATTAAAATACTGCAATAAGTATAACAAACTTCCCATCAAACTTTTAGTTTGGTTCAGGGAGAAGCTCTAAATTCAGAAATATAATCTATAATCTACATTTTCTGTAAAAATTTCTTCTCTTTTTACTTCACGATATTCATTTTTCAATTTACGTATTATTGAATTAATTAATTTCAATTCACGTCTGATTTAATTATAATTTCAATCTACGTAATATTCTTTTAAAAGATGCGACGAGAAACGAAAATCTCTCGGGTTAAGCGGCAGAAGATAAGCGCCTTGAAATATATCAATATCCGAGCAAACAGCCGACGGGGGCAGATGCCGCAAACGGAATGACAACGTGTCGCGGTCGCTTTAATCGTCGGAGACTCGGCACATATCAATGTACACACGACAGAGTAGAGATAGAGCGAAGTCTTTAATTCGACGTCGTGTATGCCGCGGGCGGAGAAGCGGCTAAGTTTAAATTAGTTCCGAAACATTCGGTGCACGCTCTGATGGTTAATGGTTCTACCATAGATCAATAAGATCGGTGGCAGAGGCGCCGCGGCGGTCGAGCTGCAGCCGCAGCTGCGTCGGTGACGATGCGACGAGAAACAGTTGCATTGCGCGTTGCGCTGCGTTAACGTTGCACCGCGCTGTCGCGTTTCGCCGCGGGGCATCCAGCTGCGAAACGCGCCGCAGTCACTTGACCGGATACCCTGGGATACCCCCGCCACGCCGCGCCACTCCGCAGTCGCTTCTGTTACATGCTCGATATACCTGTTCCTCCTCGCCGAGAGAGCTCATGGGCGCACGGAAAGGAAAAACGTACACACCGAGTCATAATTTCCACCTTCGATAAGGCGCGCCTGCGTGGTTGGTACCTTGGCGCTCGACCTTGTTACGCGGCACCCACCGCGTGTAA